TCTCTTGGAATGAGGTCTGGCTCATTCTTAGGATGCCACCAGAGCCACAGATCCTGAAGCTCCTCAAAACTTCCTGTGCTGTGAGGAACGGCAGAGGGTCAGCAAAGCCTGGAAGGGGAGACACAGGTTGGGAGCAAGTGTGGGTCTCAGTCCAGGCCCTGCTGGCTCTGGTCAACTTGCACCACTACAGGCAGACTTTTAAGGGGTGCCTTAAAAAGTAGGTACAGCATGAGACATTTCATCTCAAAGTTAGGAGTTCAATTCTCACATTCAGTGTAGTTTACTTAAAAAAAAAAGTTAAGTGAAAACTTAAAAGATGGGAACTTCAAAAGTGTTGCAAAGTGTGTGGGTGGGCATCCTTGACTTGGGAGCCAGACCCGAGACTCCACTTTTCTGTGTAAGGGAAGTTCCAGCTCTAATCCTATCTCCTCCTGTGTGGCCCACAGAAGAAGGCTCCAGAAGGCACTTTTGTGCCATTGAACTCTCTCTGAGTGATGATTGACTGATGCAGTGGGTCAATCAGACATCCTTCAGCAGGAAACTATATTTAAGGGAGAAATAGAAAGTGAGATGAACATGGGCTCACCGCGTGAAACAGATGGGTCGAGGAAATGAATCTGCTATGTACAGACTGAGGGAATGCATAGAAAAGAACACTGACGAGAGACACCAAGAGGCCAAATATCTTTCCAGTCCTGAGTCCATGATTTCCTGAGGCACAGTTACAAATTCTCAGCCTGGTGGGTGTCTTCCCTCCTACTGAATTCTAGCCACCTGGGTCAGCCACAACCAGAAGACAACTTCCATAGAATAGTTTTGTTGACCAGAAGTAGCAGACCTTTTCTATACAGGGCCAGACAATAACTATTTCATCTTTGTGGGCTACATGTGGTGTCTCTCTTCCCCTCTCTTCCTTCTCCTCCCCTTCCCCTTGCCCATTAGTCCTACCTCTAGATGGACAGTAGTTCCTGAATCAGACTGCCCATTACAGTCAGGCAGGGACCTTTAAAAACTTTCCATAAGCCCAGAGCCCATCCTCAGAAATTCATTTGGTTGTTTATTAACTGTTCATAATTTCATTTAAAGGAATTGAGTTGGGACAAACAGCTTCTGTGTCTCTTCTTTACTGTCACACTGCTACCACACTCACAGCACTTCAGATACCACATGTGTATGTGTGGGTCATGTCCTACACTAGGCCACTCTGGGACACTGTCTGGATATTTTACAATTTAACTCAATTCTAACACTACCTCCCTGCAGATAGTGTCAACTCCCTCAGGTTAAAGGCTCAGTTTCATAAGACTCCTCCAGTCCAGGTGCAATGCCAAGTCCAGCTTGTCACCTGTGCTTCTGACTGCCTGGCTATAAATCTGAGATTCCCACCACCTCTTGTTTGTTGCACTGATTTGCTAGAGCTGCTCACAAAACTCAAGGAAACAGTTTTGTTTACCAGTTTATGAAAGGATGTGATAAGGAGTGAGATGAACAGCCAGATAAAGAGATATGTAAGGTAAGGTCTGGGAGGGTCCCTCATGAAGGAGTTTCTGTGTGCATGGAGTTCGGGTGTAACAGAAATTGATTTAATTGCAGTGAACACCATACAACAAAGCTTGGGAGAAGTTCTGAGATTAAAAATATGGGGCCTGTCTTTCATTGCCCTTTTCCGTATTGCCTTCCATCAAAACATACAAAACTCCAAAACAGAAAAGAATCCTATTTGTTTTTGTCCACAAATCTGGTCTTGCATCTTGATCCTGTGATTCTCCCACTCCCCTCCTTCTGTCTTCTAAGAGAATTATGAAAGTGAACAAAGGAAACAGAAGGCAGAAGAGACCATAAAAGAACCTGCACCAAGTGAGAGGCAAGGCAATGGAAACCTTGGTCTTAACCTAACTGTACAGAAAGCAGAGGGCTGGTAAAATCTAAGTATACGGGAAGCAGAAGATTGGGAGGGTAGCCTGGCTGAGAGTCGTTATGGCAACAATGTAGAATCAGTTCTGGAGAGTAGTGCTGTAGTTGCAGTTGGGGTATGTTTCTCCAGCGTCATAGCAGTGAGTCATGCCAGTACAATTTACACTCTGGTGGCAGTTGTTCTGGCCATTCCTGCAGATCCTATTGGGCAAAATATAGGTATCTGACACATTCTGGAAGAGGTCGTGCGAAAAGGTTTTTTCACGTTTACAGCTCCGTTCAAGATGATTGACACAAGACATTTCCGTGTTCCACTGGACAGGACCTGCACTAATATGCCAAAGTATAAACGTTTGAACACTGGTGGAGGGTTGAGCCCAAGCACCAGGGGGGAAGCACTGACCCCCATGATCCCAGCAGCAACAGGAGGAGAGGAAAGGGTCCCAAAAGATCCAGCATCATCTCTTCTGTGCAAGAAGAGGAAAGAAAGTGAGAGAATGATCATAGTAGAAGCAGTAAGAGCAAAATTATCATTCACAACCATTTAGATCTTCATTGCGCCTTTCAAGATTTCTTTCATCCATTTTTTTAAAACCATCTTCTTTCTGATGTGAGTCTCACAATTCTAGGAAGGACCTGAAGCCCAGGGAGGAGGAATGGGAGATAAGATGACTGTTTCTCTGACTGGCAGATCCTATTCTTCTCTTTGTCCTGTGCTTATGCAGATACTTATCTCTTCCCTCCTCCATCCTGGAATATTTCTCCTCCATCTATTTAACCCAGACCTTCTGGTCATCCTCAGGGCTCTACTCTCCCCAGCCCCCAGGCTTCTTCTTTTACCAGGTCTCAAGGCTGGAGCTCCTGCTGAGGACAGAGGCCGTGGTTAGTCCCAGGCTCAGAGGCTTTTGTCTGCTGTTCCTTTGCCAAGTATGCCAGCGTGGCCTCCGTGCAGCAGGGAAGGTTTCTGAGCCCTAGGAAAGAGGAAAGGGAAACCTAGGGCTTGGAAGATACCCTTCTTGTGCACAGTGTGGATGAGACCCACACTCTCCAACTCACTGTTTAAAGCCAGTATCCCTGCAGATGCAGGAAGAGCAAGCCTCCTTAAAGGAACAAAGGAGAAGTGATAACTTCCTCAAAGAAGTGTGAGGAAATGATAGATTCCTGATATGGGCTGAGTGCTTTCTTTCCTATCTGAAGTTTCAGTGTTTGACACTCTATGATTTCAGTTCTTTTCTCCAAACACACCATGTAAATTTGATGTAAGAGTTGACCATGTACCTGGTAATGTTTTCAGTTCCAGCAACAGACTTGAATGAATTATTCATGTACCTGCAAGTTTATTGGGCCAGATACTGGGCTACTCAGATTCAGGAGCTCATGATCTAATGAAAGAGAATATCAGATAAATAGAGAAATGCACTATATATTAATAACTGTAAATAGTTATTTTGGCTGAGTTAGAGGAGATGCCAGGGAGCTGTGAGGAGCTGGCACCTGAACTGAGTTTTGAGAATTAATTAGAAGTTAGGTGAAGAGGATGATAAGGTCATCCCAAAGAGGGAACTGTGTGTAAAGAGGCAGTCAGACCCCTGGCTCCCACACCCATTTTGAAGGCATAAGCAAAACAATTGTATAGGCGGCATTAAAAAGTTCTTCTTCATTGTTTTGTTCCCTAAATACCCCTTTTCTTTCTTTGAAAGATTCATTTATTTATTTGAGAGAGAGAGAAAGAGCATGAGTGGGTCGAGGGACAAAGGGAGAGAATCCCCAAGCATGTTCCCCATCAAGCATGTAACCTGATTGGGCTCAGTACCACCAAAATGAGATCAGGACTTGAGCTGAAACCAAAACTCAGTTCAACTGATGAGCCACCCAGGTGTCCCTATTTTCCTTACCTCTTAACCTCATGCACATTCAGTCATTAACTTTGCCTTCTTACTCCTAATCCCTTTTTACCCACTGATTGCAGAAACAAAAAGGGGACCAAAAAAATAACATCTGTTTTGATGTATGTGATCCCAGGACCCAAATAGTGCCCGATTGTCCCCAAGAATGCTTACCTCCAGATTGTTTCAAGGACACCCCAACAAGGTTCAAAAAACTCTTACCTTTCTTTTATGTGTATAAGTTTTCCCTATGCTCAACAGGGCAAGGCAGCTTTGGGAACAATTCCCTCCTTTCTCCAGGGGCTGCCTTCTTGACAATAAAGCTTTCTTTGCTTTAGATCCAGTGTCTCAGAATTTGGCTTCCTGTATATTGGGTGTATGGACAGGTTGGAATTTGGTACAAAGAGACCCACAGGCATGAAGAAGGGCCAGTTTAGGGTATTTGACTCTTCACTCTGTTCTTACTTTTCCACTGGTGCTGTAATACACTTATTTGGAATCTTTTGTCTCCTGGAGGGCTCATAGAAAAGCCTCCGACAGGGACAGGGTCCCTGCCTCTGGCCTCTTTTCCTTCCAATTCTACATATCCCTTTCAGATTAGTACTCCCTGAGCATAAATAGAATAGTGGGACACTCTTGCTTTTAGTGTCTTCAATTACCTACAGGATTAAAATGATGTCTTTTTAGAGCAAAATCGCAAGATACAAGGTTAATAACAAAAATCAATTGCTTTCTTAGATATCAGCAATGAATAATTGAAATATGAAAACCCATTTACTACACCAGTAAAAAAATGAAATACTTAGATATGAGTCTACTAGAAACTGAACATGATCAATATGAGGAAAACTACAAAACTCTGCTGAAGGAAATTAAAGAAACGTTAAATACATGAAATATCAATGCTGAGGAAACCAGATTACGTCATTCCAAACTATGACTCTTTGAGACAAAAATTATTTTGCACTAAAGGCAGTTAAGAATCAGTAAATGCAGAAAGGGCTCTCCCTTTTTTGACTAAAGGCAGGAAATAAATTATTTTCCTGGAGACAATTTCTTTCTGTCAAGTCTCTTTCTTAGAACAAAAGATGAGTTTTTTGACTCACAAACAGATCTAAATGGTTGTGAATGATAATTTTCCTCTTATGACTTCTATTACTATCATTCTCTCATTTTCTTCTCTCTTCCTACACAAAAGAGATGATGCTGGACTTTCTGGGACCCTTTCCTCTCCTCCTGTTGCTGTTGGGATCATGGGGGCTAGTGCATCCACTATGTCACTCAGCTCAACCCTCCACCAGTGTTCAAACATTTACAATTCAGCATCTAAGAGCAAGTCCTGCTCAATGCAACAGTGCAATGCGTCTTGTCAATAATCCTAACTGGACCTGTATAGGTCAAAACTCTTTCCTGCAGGACTCCTTATGATGAGGGAACAGAAGGCTGGCTGGCTGGCTGAGGACAAAGCAAAAGGCTGACACCTCACAATCTCCCCCTCACGCCCACTCCTGGGTGAGACAAATGTGACATTCTTTAAGAATGTCCCAACTATCTTAATGTTAATGGCTTGCTAAAAGGGAAAAACAACCTTGACACCAGCAAGGCTTCTGGTGGCAAGGCCTCTGATATCTGGTTATCTTTGTAGGTCCTCTTTAGCATATGAAAGTTCTATTGAAACCTCCCTTTCCCTCACCTTCCCCCAACCACAGGGTACATAGCCTGCCATCCCTCACAACCCTAGGCAGCAGCTCTTCCTGCACACAGGTCCTGTCCCCCTGCTTTAATAAACCACCATTTTGCACCAAAGATCTCTCAAGAATTCTTTCTTGGTCATTGGCTCTGGACCTCACCCCACCGAACCTCACCTAGATTCTAGAACTTCATCACTTACAGAATGTGACTATTACCTGCAGTTGGCCCAACAGGACCTGCAGGCCTCATGGGAATAACTGCCACCAGAGTGCAAATCCTACTAACACGACTTCCTGCTATCACACTGGAGGGAGATATCCTGACTGCAGCTACAGTACCACTCCCCAGAACAGGTTCTACGTTGTTGCCTGGGACCCTCGTCAGCCAGGCTACCCTCCCAATCGTCTGACTCCTGTAGGGTTGGACAAAGACTAAAGTTTCCATAATGTTCCTTCTCACTCAGTGCAGGTTTTCCCATGCTGTCTTCTGCCTTTTGTTTTCCTTTCTTGATTTCCGTGGTTTCCATAGAGGAAAGAAGGAGGGGAGTGAGGGAATTCAAGGGCTACGATGCCAGGCCAGAGTTGGGGACACAAACAAAGAGCATTCCTTTCTGCTTTGGAGCTCTGTATGTTTTGAAGGAAGGCAATAGCCAAGAGGGCCAGGAAAGACCCAGGCCCCTATTTTTAATCTTGGAACTTCTGCCAAGCGTTGATGTATTTTGTTCAGAGCAATGGAATCACTTTCTGTTGTATTGTAATGACCTTGAGTGTGTGTGTTTGGGATGTCTTTCACATCATTGCCAGCCTGGAGCCATCTACATGGCGTTTGCCAATATACTCAGGAGAACCATCTGGGCCCTAGTCAAACTTGGAGGTTATTCAGCAACCCAAGGCTTTTGCTTCAACCCCCACCCCTGTGTCTCTGGGACATTGGAGCAAGAATGTGCTCCATCCCTTCAAACTCTGCTCAAGGCTTTTACATATTTCCCTTGAAACCATGGTCCATGCTTGTTTGGAGGTGACAAGTACACCTCATAGTATGTGCATAGTATTTCACACACAGGTTCTAACCCTGAAAACCGATACACTGTGCATCTTTACTATTAGTTTCTGTATTTCATCAGATAGTGTTTCAAATGTAAGTAGTAGTACTGATAATAACTCACTGTGGCTGTAGAGTCAATTCTCCCATGATCTATTGCGATGCATGAAGAGAAAGCATAGATCAAGGGGAAAAAAAAGCGCTGGGAATTGAAAACATCCTGCCCTCCTGAATACTGAAATATCACAGAAATCATGCTGTTTTGGAAATGGTAGTTGATTTAACCACTGAAGGACAGCAATTAAAAATTTGACTGGTGGTGGAGCACGTGGGTGTCTCAGTGGGTTAAGCTGTTAAACCTTTGCCATGGCCTCAGCTCATGATCTCTTGGTCACCTTGAGCCCCTTTCTGCCTTCCTGCTCAGAGGAGAACCTGCTTCTCCCTCTTCTTCTACCTCTCCCACCCTCTTGGGTATCTGCTCTCTTTCTCTTCTGTTTCTCTCATATAAATAAAGGAAGTCACTAAAAAAAAAAAAATTTGGCTGGGACTCAGAACTTAGGTCCTAGGTTCAGGGGAGGAAAAATAATTGTTCCTTACCACTTTAGGTTCTTGGCTGAAAATACCTACCCCTTAATAAAAAGTCAACTTAATAGGACAAAAACTATTTTAATATGTTCATATATACTGGAGCGCCACAAAAACATTATTCTTAAAAGCAAGTAGCCAACTGAGTCTTATGGACCATCCTGACTATGGAAAGGATCGGGGTCTAGGGCTTTAAAAGCGGGGGGAGTCAATTCAGAGGAAGGTGAGAGGACAAAATATTTGGGAAACAATTATGCCCTGCCAGGGAGACGACTCTCAGATGATGGTGACCCATCTCATGGTTCAGTTCCCTGAACAGGCCTCTTTCTAATGTAAATTTCCCCTACAAAAGAGTTACCTTTACTCTGCTTTTAGAACTTTGCCTCTGTACTTTCTCACAATAAACAGCTTAACACAATTCTTATGCCAAAAAGGAATATTTGGGGGTGGCTTATTCTGCTACCCCTCATACCTTTCCATTTCCTTGCCAACTACTAGCCTCACTGGGTTAACAGTCCAGTGTGTGTCAAAGTGCTTTGTAGCCTGATCTGTCTTTGAGTAGCAGCCAAACATAATGCCTATCAGAAAGGCCCCATGGTGAAGTAGTTATGAGTGTGTCAGTTATCTGTGCTGCACAATGGTTCTTTCCAAACCAAGCGATTCCTTTAACAGCTGTGCTAGCTGGGCTCACCTTCCTTTATGCCACATCTTTATGTCAGGTCTTAGAAACAAAGACAGAAATATGAAAGTTTCAGGGTTCAGGAGCCTGGATTCTGAGGGTGCTAAATACTCAAGGCCCCTCTCAGTGGGACGACATAAGAAGGCCAGGACAACCTGGCACTTGAGAAAGTGGGTGCCCAGTAGGGGAACTTCTCTCATGGGACTTGAGTCCTCCAATTTAGAGCAGCTTTCATTAGTATTGATTTTAGCAGCACGACATTTACATCAGAGTGTCAAAGTATTCAAGCCAAGTGCGGGGGGAGTGGACACAAGGATCTGTGTTCACATTTGGGTAGGATCCAGTGTAGGAACATAGCATCATCCTCAGGGAAAGGGGTCTTCAGATGGCATGCATCAGCCTGATCAGTAATCACAGTGGGCTTATGTACTCTATAAACATTACCTGGACATTTCAGCAGATTCTTGGAGAAAGTAACCTAGTAAAAGGCTGAATTTCCTTTCATCAAACCACTCAGGGGCGCCTGGGTGGCTCAGTGGGTTAAGCCTCAGCCCTCCACTCAGATCATGATCCCAGCATCCTGGAATCGAGTCCCGCATCAGGCTCTCTGTTCAGCAGTGAGCCTGCTTCATCCTCTCTCTCTGCCTGCCTCTCTGCCTACTTGTGATCTCTGTCAAATAAATAAATAATATCTTAAAAAAAAAAAACACTCAGTTACTCTCTCTTACTCACCTAGTACTTGAATATCGTTATTTATATGTTAGGAAACTCACAGATTGAAGAAATTGTCGAAGGGAGTATGAATGAGGATAACTTGGGGAAAATCTTTTATGCTCAGAAGTGTTAATTCTAAGTAAATCGGCAAGATCATGGTGGACTGTCAGGTTTGTGCTCCTTTCTGCGTGCAATCATGTATTGGAGGAGAGTCCAGATAAGTGACTAAATCAGATATTCATTTAGGTATATCCCTAAATCAGCTTCAATGATCTGACAGTCATTCTAGAAAGATACAACTGGGGCAAATCTTAGAAAGAAATTTAGCAAATGTTCCAGCAGCTCTCAACTCTGGTTTCGTATGAAATTTACCTGGGAGTTTAAAAAAAACAGTATCAACGACTGTATCTCTGTGATAGAGTAGAAAATATGTGTGGATTTCTGCCTCTGATTCCTGGCACAGAGCCCCTGAAACCCTTGTAAATTCCTGAGTGATAAGAGCACTTGGAATATCTTTTGTTCTAAGAAAGAGACTTGTCTTTCTTTCTGACATGAGTCTCACAATTCTAGGAAGGAGCTAAAGCCCAGGGAGGAGGAATGTGAGTTAAGATGACATTTCCTCTGACTGGCAGATCCTATTTTTCTGTTTCTTTTGTGCTTATGCAAAGAGAAACTGGTCTCTTCCCTCCTCCCTCCCGGAATATTTCTCCTACATCTATTTAACCCAGACCTTCTGGCCATCGTCACAGCTCTACTATCCACAGCCCCCAGGCTTCTCTTCTTACCAGGTCTCAAGGCTGGAGCTCCTGCTGTGGACAGAGGCCATGGTTAGTCCCAGGCTCAGAGGCTTTTGTCTGCTGTTCCTCTGCCAGGTATGCCAGCATGGCCTGCGTGCAGCAGGGAAGGTTTCTGAGCCCTAGGAAAGAGGAAAGGGAAACCTAGGGCTTGGAAAATGCACTTCCTGGGCACAGTGTGGATGAGACCCACACTCTCCAATTCACTGTTTAAAGCCAGTATCCCTGCAGATGCAGGAAGTCCAAGCCTCCTTAAAAGAACAAAGGAGAAGTGATAACTTCCTCAAAGAATTGTGAGGAAATTATGAATTCCTGATATGGGTTGAGTGTTTTCTTCCCTGAAACTTTAACATTTTGAGCTCCATGATTTCAGTTTTTTAGGAGAAAACAAACCACAAACACAGAAGACTCCCCCAGTCCAGCTTGTCACCTGTGCTTCTGACTGCCTGGCTGTAAATCTGAGCTTCCCCAACTCTCTTGTTTGTTTCATTATTTTGCTAAAGTGGCACATGGAACTGGAGGAAACACTGATGGTTTATCAATTACTTAAAGGATATGGTAAAGGATGCAGATGGAGAGCCAGATAAAAAGATACCTAGGGTAAGGTGGGAGGGTCTTAGTGAAGAAGCTTCTTTCTTCATAGAGTTGGGGTGCATCATCACCCTCCCAATATAGACGATGTAGGAAAGATGTTAGGGTGTGAAGCCAATAGCTAAGAAAGTATTCTTGAGACATCTTTGGTGCAAAAAGATGGTTTTTTGAAAGCATGTGGACAGGACCCGAGGGCGGAAAGCTGTACAGAAAGTGGGTCTTGAGGAAGTGGCCCATGACATAGCTTTAAGTTGGGAGGAAGAGAAGTATAGCATAAGTCTCTAAGGAATTTTGGAAGGAAGATGTCCAGGACATTGAGGAGGCTAGCTCTTGTTAGGAAAAGGTCATTTATTACTGTGTAATCGAATCCTAGTCACGAGAACCTTCAGATGTATATAGGTGAGCCATATGCTTGGGGAATGATTGCCAAGATATACCTTCCAGAGTAGAGACAAGGGTAGTTTCCAAGGGAATTTTTGGTGTGAAGGTAGGCTTACAGGATCCTGGGTGGTTGGGATAATGACAAGCTAAGATTGCTTTTTGTCCTTAGTAAATTGTCAACATGTAAACAGGTCAGTTCCCACATGAATGTCACTCTACCTATTTCAAGGACTGGTCAATGGGTTGTAGAAGTATGGAAATTTAAGTTTTCTTTTGCCTTTGTTTCCCACATCACTTGCATCATCACTAGAGATTCAGTCTTGGAGGATAATGTAGAGGAAGAAGCAATCTTTTTCTTCCCTTCTTTCTTCTCAGTTATGGCATTTATAACATAAGACAGATTAACAAAAGAAAAACAAACAAGCTTATTAACATGGATATTTCATATATACATGACAGAAATGCAGGGACTGGTGTGAAATATGGTGATGTGGGGGTCCAGGAGTGAATGATCAAGAAAGATCTCTTGAGGCATCTTTTGTACAAAAATGGTGGTTTTTAATTAAGGAATGTATTGGGACAGGACTCGTGGGCAGAAAGAGCTACATTGGGGTTGATTCTCTACTCTTAACATGGGGTGGGGTTAGGGA